TTGCCACCTCATCTAACCTAGCTCTTCTAATTTTTCCAAAACATAGGATCTTTTAGTCCTACCCCAAGGAGGTGATTCATCTTTAATTTTTCTTTCAAATAGGTCTTCACAAATTAATACCATTTAAAATAATTCTTCTCATTTAAGTGATAGGAATGTTGCATATTTTGGAGATCTTCTCTTTATTGGTGCACCATAGAGTCCTCCATTTAATTAAAGCTTTGGGAGGAATTTGCTTCAGACATTGCGGCGACAAAGGGCATCGATGAAGGCTATATTAAGCAGGGCACCAATAAAGGTTGCGTTGGTTATAGATAGGATAACAATAACAAAGGAAGGCCAACAATGAAGGCACGACGATACAAAAAATTCAGAATTACAACAATGACAATGAAGGCTCTAATACCATGTTAAATTTAGAGAATTGGAGAGAGAAAAACTTAATTTTATTGCACAAACTTGTCCCTATTTATAGATTTATATAAGATATCTTAATAAAGAAATAAATAATTACAGAATAATGCTTTATTAATAATGCTTTATTGCTTTAATATAATTCTTCCTAAATCAGCCTTCTAAATATGGAAGGAGATCAGCGTGATCCAGGTGAACCTCCCACGGATTTCCATCTAAGCCGTGGGATCAAAATGTCAAGGGATGGCTATGATTTAATATTCGAGTCTCCCATGGATTCCTATCCTAGCCATGGGATCAAAATGCCAAGGGATGACTCGGATTTAACAACTATTATGTAACCTTCTATTATTCTCATTTGTATTCAAGAACTCAGCATGAGTAAGATGATTGGTAGAGCTATTGAAGCTGATTAAATCTATTACCTTTCCCTACGGCCTCACCTCCTTCACCTTCCACCACCACTCGCTGTCAGTGACATTATCATCCGGGTCATCCTCCATCACAACATCTTTTGGGGTTCACCTACGTCCTCCTCCCTATATAAGTTTGAATTTAATGCTTTTGAGTATAGAAACATCATCAACTATCTTTTCTATCTTCCAGTTCAAGTCCTGATAGTTCCCCTTTTGAGTTATTAAATTTAAATATTTGAGAATCTGTCTTGTTCTTATCCACCTAGGTTCTGAATACTTTGTTACATTTATTGATAATCATTGTTGTATTACTTTGGCTTATTTAATTAAATGCCAATACGATATTCTATCTGTATTTCACACCTTTTATCATTAAATTGAAGTTCATTTTTCTGTTATGCTTAAGACTATTTGTATTGATAAACATCTTAATTTATGTAGTATGAATTTCAATCATCCTGTGCTGATATCATTTGCCATACCTCATGTTCTTAAATATCACTATAAAAGGGGGTTGTTGAATGCGTGCATCATCATTTACTCGACCTAGGGCAGACATTGATGTTCTATGAATGTTTCATGTCAATCCTTTGGTGATGCTTTGTTGATTGCTTGTTATCTTATTAATTGGCTCCCAACTGTTCTTGGTAACACCCCCCCCCATCACTTTTCATTTTTTATCTTGGGCAATCCTTTCTTCTTGGCCTTAAATTTTTTTTTAAGTATGCTTTATCCATTCCTTTCTTACTAATGATAAATTCATGGGGAATTTTCATGCAAACTATCTTATATCACTCTATTTATATATCTAACACCAAAAACTTAAATATTTCATTTCTACCACCATATACACTTTAATATCAAATATGCACTGCTATATTTCATTCATACCATCCTATAAACATTAATTTTTCATTTCTAGCACTCATATTTGATCTATGGGTGATATGCATGTAATATTTAAGTTTTAGGTGTTAGATATGTAAATAGAGTGATATAAAATGATATGTATGTAAACCCCCCTAAATTTTTTCCTTGAGAATGCATCTTTTTGGGCTACTCCCATTCTCCTATAAAGGCCAACATTGTAATGACCTTCTCGCTGCATTTATACCTCCATAGATGGCACCTTTCATGAAATTATTCACAACTTCACGGATCCATCATCAACACAGATCCCCAAGTATGCACACGTTCTTACCGACCATCTATAGTAACAATTGCAACCACATTGTCAGACACGACTGAACATCCCTTCCCTTAAGAATTTTCTAATGTCCATTTACTCGTCGCCTTTCGAAAAGGTAAATATAATGTAATTATTATCTTATTCAATCTTATGTCTTCTGAACATGAGGAAAATAGCCTCTCATAGGCAGGAAGAGATGTGATTTATTCTGATAGTTCGAAAATGGCCTTGCGGCTGTCAAGTGTAATGTTACTCTCTTAGGTTTCGTTTGATCAGTTTTCTTACTGTTTTATTTTTTAGATCGTAACTACAATTTCTGTTTGACCACTACCTTTTCATTGTTTTTTTTAAAAAAATTGTACTAGAAACTGCATTTTACAACATCTTTAAAAAATTACCTTTTCTATTGTAGTTTTACAAAGCAATAAGAAATTTATCCCAATGAATCCTTAATCTGTCTCTAAATCATGCATATTTTCTTTTTTCAATCAAAATCATTACGAGATTTTGACATGAATCCTTTAAGAAATTGTATTAATGCTAGGGCGTCTCCTGGAAGCAACGCGATGTATAGCTTGAATACAGTGACAAGTGTGCAAGGGTCGCTGTACCGGCGCCCGGGTGCAGTGTTAAATAGGCAAGGATCCCCACATCAAGGACGGATGTGGGCAAAGAAGCTAGTTGTGCAGGCGCTGCAATCCGGGCCGGTGCGTCGTTAAATGGCAAGGATCCTCCATCAAGGAGGAATTGCGAAAGAGCATTCATCTCAATTTAAATTTAGGGTTGTGAACTTGGATATAGTTCCCTTACAGGAAATTACCTGGAATTTAATAGATATTATGATTAATAGGCGCTCGCCCCAGTAAATTTATTTTGTGCATTCAGGAAACTAGTAGGGTGGAGAGCAGGCTAAAAATTGATAGTTTAGGCATTTATTTCTGGTATTTCGTGGCAGGATCGTATTAGCAAATGGTGTAGGTGTTTATAGATACAGTTTAAAGGATATGTTATAAGTAATAGAATATGGAGATAGAACTTATAGCTTAAGAATTGTTGTTCATGATAATATTGTTAATATTAAAAGTGCTTATGCTCCAAGTAGGTTTGGATATCGAGTTCTAAATTAATTGGAATGACTTAGAAGAATTTATACAAAAGCCATCTCTTGAGAAGAGTTTTTTATTGAAGGATATTTAAGACTGGACATGTTGGTAGAGAGGTAAATATTTAAAAGCATATCATTGATGGCATGAATTTGGATCGACGAATGAAGGTTGCAATAATATAGATTTTTGTTTGTTGATTTTTCAATTCCCTATTTTCGGTTTTGGTTCATTAAGATAAGTTAAGCCATATCTTTTTACTTTAGTCATGGATGTTTACTAGACATTTGCAAGAGGATGATTACCTTTGGTGTATGCTTTTGCTGAAGATATTTTGTTTGATAAAGAACTGAGAGGGATTGAAGGTAAATTGAATTATGTAGTCAACTGAGAGTCAAGGGTTTTCGCTTGAGTATGATCTAAAGGAATATAGGGTGTAATTTTAGAGTATAGTGGTGAGAGGGGATGTGATTTGGGCGTCAAGTTCATTAATAATGAGTACACGTTTAGATATTCTTGGATTTCTATGTTAGAGTGATGAGTGAAATAGTAGTGGGATATATCAGCAGAATTCAGTTGATGGTTGAAGTGGAGGAAGCATTCGGTGCTTGTATGTATATGAAAAGTACCCTCAAACTTAAGCGGAAAATTCTATAAGTGGTAGTGAGGCCTGCATGTTTTATGGTGCGAAGTTGGCCATTAAAGAGAAGCATAATACTCAAGTGAAGATGGAGAGAATGAGGAATGCTTAGAGGTGAGAGTGCTTACCCTTGAGACTAGGATCGAATATGCCGAGCCATATACGTGAAAAGGTTGGAGAGCTCCAGACCTACAGTGAAGATTAAGATTAGAGAGAGTCGGCCTTAGTATGGTTTGGTCACATAAAAGGCGTCTTCCGAGTGACGTTATGTGAGGTAGATGGTATTAGATTGACTTGTGTGAGAAAGGTAGGGTAGCCTAAAAGAACTTGGTTAGAAAATATTGCGAATGACCTTTCTTTATAGATTAGATGGTGTATTTTGAACTTTAAATAGACATAATGGAGAAATGATTCATTAGCGACCAGTAGGGGATAAAGTTCTAATCCTACATTTTAATTTTGAGTGAAGCACTCTATTTTAAACTTTTCTAAGAATAACGGCCGTGCATATTCCAGGTCAATCAGATTGGAACCATCACAGAAGTTATAGAAGTTGTGAAGCAGGCAAAGGATGCTCATTGGGGTGTGGTTGTTTCTCATAGAAGTGGTGAGACAGAAGATACCTTCATTGCAGATTTGGCAGTTGGTCTTTCAACTGGTCAGATAAAAGCTGGCGCGCCTTGTCGAGGGGAGAGGCTTGCAAAGTACAATCAGGTTAATCTTTTCTCACAAATCACGCATTGCCTTACCCATTTTAATCGAAGTTCTTGACTGATCTAGTAAGGCATATTGCTGAGTTCACACTCACATATGATATTATATGAAATAGTGTTTCTCTGGTTTTATTTTAAGTGAAAAAAAAGTAAACTCATCGTCAAAAACCTCATTTATAGAGAAGTTTCAAGAAGCTACTTTTGACATAGATAAATTTTGCCTTAGAACATTTAAGATTCTGCGAACTCGATTTGAAATAATTGTAAATTTTTTTTCCTTGTAATGCTAGCAGAAGGCCTTGGTCTTTAACTATTTGAATACTTAGCACTTTTTGTATTCAAAAGTCTGGTGATTAACTTTTGTCATTTGACAAGGAAAAAATATTTAACAGATATAGACGATACATTACATCAAAAGGAACCCTATCTTATAACACTCACTTACCCAATAACAGTCTACAATGCTAAGATGCATATATGATATACTTCAGCTTCCTCAACGTTTAACCTTCAGCAACACCTAGCCTACAAGAGTAGAGGTATCCATCCACAATCATTTGTAATATGTTTTCTATGCCTTAGCATCTCTTTCTAATCAAATCACCTGAATAACTTCAGAAATAAAAAATTCAACATTAGCTTTTTCTCGGCATCAATGCATCTCCAAATAATGAAGTCAATTTCACCCTTTCACGTGGTCTGATATACTGAAACCTACCAATTTTCTCTGCGGACTTCTTGCCGACCAACAATTGAAAAGATGTGGAACTCATTATTAGAGATTCCCAAAATTTTTGTAGATATTATTGCCCACCTATCCCACCTCTAAAGCTGCACCTTAACATGTTTTTGTAGATATTATGCCATGAAAAATCTAGTACCTACATGTATAATGACTTCTTTCTTAAAGAACCATCTCATCAAGGTCAAAGCCCAACTATGATTATAAATAAACGTGGTAATCCTCTTGTCTTTAGTCAAGGCATTCTTATATTGTGGGAACTCTCCGAGTTTTAAAAGGATTAAATCAATATAATTTACAATGTATGGAGTTTAGTAAATATGCTCTCTCTTCTTAGTCTATTTATTTCCCACCATCTTTTAAGCGTTAGCATTTTCAGTAATAACTTGAACGGCTACATGGTCTCCAATATCCTCTATACTCCCTCAATTAATTTGAATATTAATATTGCATCTTTCACCTGATCTGATGCTTAAATATATTTCAGAAAAATAGTGTCGTAGGGATTATTTATTAGAATGTTGATTAAGTTGGCGTTTCTAATTTCTGAAGAATCATTAGACATGACTCTAACTCTAGTTTTAGACCAAGTTCTGTTGATCCCCTCAATAGCCTTCTCAATGATATTCGATCCCTCCTTCAAGATCTAAGTTTTGAGCTCATAAATGTAAGGAGGTTTAAGGTTTTGACAGTAGGAACGTATAGAATGCATCATACTAACATAGGATGGGAAGCTGCCAGATTAAATGGAATTTTGTTCTCATAGAAAAATATTTTGATGTTCATACAAACACGCTCGCAAGCCTCTATTGCATTTTGTTGAGAAATTCGACGTGCTTCCCTTAGTCCCATAATTATTGTCATCATCCACATTCATTAGATATTGATTTTTAGGCCCCCTTCCGAGCCTCTTTCATTTTGTGAAGATATTCGAAGGGTTACCGTCATACCATCATTGTTGTCATCCTTCACATTCGTAAGATCTTGATTTATTGGCTTCCTTGCATCTCTATTGGACATTTGTGGCAAACGAGTAATCTTTACCATAATAAGGCCACTATTAACTCTGTCATCAAGTTGTTGTGTTAATTCCTTTGACATGGCCTCTTTAGTCATCTAAACACGAGTCTCCTCTTTCACTTGGGCATTTTGGCTCAAGGTGCAACATTTTTCTAAGAACATTAAAGATGTCATTTGATGCGGGCGTGTGTCTGTGTGCGGACACTTAACATAAAAACTCAAATGTCTTTACATTTTTTATTTATTTGTATGTATGCTAGATCTTTGTATAATATTAATACATTAAATTCTCTCAACCGTCTTGAATTTCCTAGCATGCTACAGGTATAATAGAGGATAGGTAATGCACCAATATAGTGGATTGTTAAAATTAGTATGAAAGGATTAAAAAGAAAAGAAAAGAAAAAGATATATTTGACTAAAATTTATACGGATAGAAGTTATGCAAAAAGATTACTTGTTTTAACACAAGTTGCACTTAACATGAATGAATGGAAAAAATTCATTTTCAGTGAGCCTAAAAGTAACAATATTGAGGTCGTATTATGTGCCTATAGAACTTAGTTGGTTTGAGTTTCTTCAAGAATCCATAGTCACAATCATGTTGCCCGCTGAAAACTTTATTTTTTTTTTTTTTTTGTTGGCTGCAGTTGCTGAGGATCGAGGAAGAACTTGGAAGTCAAGCTGTGTATGCTGGAGAGAACTGGAGACAGCTTTGATCACGTCATTTTATTCTGAATGTTTCTTAGAAATCCGAGCTCATTTTTAACAGATCTTGTCCATTGCCTGGAGCTGATCTTATCGAGTTTTGAGCGGAATTACGAACTATAGTATCGTGGATTTTTTTATTTATTTTATTTTTTTAATATTGATCGAACAAGCAAAAGCTTGGATTGATGGTTTTCGTATGGAATTTTGTACATTTTTTAATGGGTTTTTATACAAAGTATCACAATGGCATTTTCTCAATTTTGTTTTAGTTTAAACCCGGGGTGTCAATTTTTGACACGACCTGAACCCGACCCGGAAAAATCCGGGTTCGGGTCAACTCAAACCCGAAACGGATCGGGTTGAACAAATTAACCTGTTTTGAAAATCTGGTCGATTTCGGGTTGACCCAACAACCTAAAATTGACCCGAAAGTGACACGAAAACTCATATTTGACCCGAAAATCCGAGATTTACCCGTTTTGGGCCCGATTTTGACCCGAAAATCGAATATTGGCCCGATTTTTGACCCGAAAATTAACAATTTTAGGTCAACTTTGGATCATTCGTGTCGGGTCGGGTTGACCGGACCTGA